GTTCATATGTGTGTCACATCCACTAGGTGACAATATATGAACCCAAATACAGCTGTGGAATGTCAATGATAAGTCTTAAGAGAACAACATGGACACATGTGACTCATGTTGTCTGTTGTAGAATGTTCAGCGGTTGACTGGGTCATTTTAGTGCTTTTACTAAAACTTTCAGTGCGTTAGTGCTTTAGAATTAGGGGACCTAAATATTTGAGTTAGTGTTTTAGGGCTAGTGGAACTAATTTTTAGATTAGTGCTGCCCACCACTGCCTATAACAGATAACAGCTTCCCCAGCAGCCCACTTCAACAGATTGATCACTTTCAATGTTCAAAACCAAGATTATACAAGTAAATTTAGCTTTAATATATTGAGTGACTAAAAAAGTTCTAATTTTGATAATAAAGTGAATCAATGACTTACCAATAAATCACATCAGGTAACGGGGTAGGCAGGCAGTTTCAGATCCAGGTTTAATCTGAGGTATTTGATATCACATAAAGCCTGCTGTTACTAATTTTACACCCACTGAAGCAGGCAGGATTTACTTTCCATTTCCTCCCTCCAGAAATTTCCCTAAATTATCCCTCCGCGACGCATCGCCGGAGACCTCAAAGGAGTCTCGGGGCTTTAAGACGCACGGCGTGTAATTGTAGCCATAATTACTGGCGACATCCAGAGTTGAAAATCCGGCTCAAAACACCTCAGACTGTCACCACACGTCAGCCTCCACCCAAACAAACTGACGGGGCGGAAAAGACCCGCAGAATGTGGCACTCAACTGGGGAGGAGGGAGGGATATTCGTTTCTGGCGCTCCTTTAAAAAAAAGTCTTTAAATGTTTCCACTTCTTATCACAGAGCGGAGAAACTCTTTCATTCAGCGGATAAATAAAATAGGTCCACAGAAAACATGATGCTAAAAAAAAGCGCGGAAAAATAAAAATAAAAAAACCAGGGCGTCCCGAAGCTCGATCCATCACAGGACGGTGCACCTAGTATCCCAAACCCGTCACACCCGAACCGAACCAGTGAATAAAACAAGCTGTTTTTAAATCAGCGGTCTTACCTTGTTCCTCTCCCCGCTGTGAGGCTCAGCTCAGCCGGACGTGTTGCCGAGAAGACGCCGCTGAAATGATCGACTCCCAGCCGAGAGGAGCACGAGGAGGAGGTGGGGGAGTGATGAGGAAGATGAAGACGTGAAGCGGCGGCGGTTCCGATGGGGGGGCTCACGAACCACCTCCTCCCCTCTCACCTTCCCGGTTGTTGTACCATCAGGACCGGAACCGCCGGGAGTCGAAGCCGGAGTGACATCCAAACTTACCGCGTTCAGACTCCCCGAGTCCGGCAGGAGGGGCTGGCTCAGAGAGAGGAGCCACTCTTCATCCTCATCTGGACCGGAGAGCTGCTGCAGACAGAACCCGTCCCCCCAGACATTCAAAACCGGAGGGTCGTAAAGTTCTGACACTAAAAAAAAAAGGCAGCGTTTTGATTTTCAAACTGTTCAAGAAGTGTAAAGATGTGTCAAAGTTGCTCATGATGGTCACCATGGTAACCGAACACCTGTGTCTGTCACTCCCTGGCTGCCAAGGCTATGCAAAAATAAAACTGAGTGTAAAGCTGTGCATAAACGCATTTTAAAGAAACAAAAAGAAAAGCAGTAAAAGTTGTTTATTTGGAGTGAATTCCTCATCGTGGAGCTCATTTTGGTTTCAGTTGCAGTTTAAATCACAAGTTCATGTCCTGCATGTTTTAGAGGTTTACCTGCTTCACCTGATTCAAATAATTTGATTACCTCCTCAGTGTGACAACTTTATAAAGCTGTCAATCATTTAACTCAGTCAGGGGTGAGTMATCTAAAACAGCACAGTGGGTCACAAAGAACAGCTGCAGTTTTTACTAACAGAAGAGGATTAGGACTAAAGAGCAAAATTATGTATTTTTGTACTGAGAATTCTGACGTTAATCTCTTTAAAAGTTACTCAAAACTGAGGAAAAAAATCTTTAAAAAAAAACCATCTGCGAATAAACTCGAAGTTTTGATAAATCAGAATTCCCTGAAAAGGTTAGAAATTTTGTTTTTACAACCAGAATTCTGAAAAAAAGTCAGGAATTTTGAGATTAAAGTCAGAAATTTACAATAAAATCAGAAATTCTGGGGGAAAATGCCAGAATTCTGATTTTTCTTTTTTATCTCTCAAATTTGGAGGAAAAAAAAATTATGAGGAAAGAAATTTTGACTAATCTATGAATTTGGAGGGAAAAAAAGATGTTTGAGGTGAAAAGCTAGAACGCATTTTAAAAAATCACCGGTAATAATAAAACTTCCTAATCCTCTTCTGTATTTCCAGTTCTGTATTCATGAAGTCATTTCCACAACAAAGTTTTTTTTTTTTTGAAAACAGTTCTAATAAGATCAGGCATCAAACTCTTAACACTTAAAACATTCAAACCTGCTGTTTTATTCTGCATAATTATTCCTGAACACTTTGTTTACTTCTTGTTGTTTTGACATTTACCAGTTTGGAAGCCTGACTGATGGTTTAGTAAACTCTCCTCGTTATGAGCGCCGTGCATGTTGTTTACCATTTCACGTTTATTATTCCATAGTTAAAAGGTTGATTCGGTTAATTAAAGCTCATTAAAACACAAATATACAACAAAAACACAAAGATTTTATTTACATCACATAATTCAAGCAACTAAACGTGCTTTAGGGTTGAAAACGATGTATGTACATGAAACAGGTGGAGTAAAAGAGACGAGGGGATAAATATGTACAAGTCTTTAAAAGGATGGTGTAGATGAGCGCCGTTGCTGTTCCTTCTGCGGCGAGGTGAACTACCTGTGCTGCGCGTCGCCCGCGCTCACCTGTCGGCTGATGTTGCTCTGAACGAAGTCTTTGAGGCCGTCGAAGCCCTGGTTGAACAGGTACTCCAGGTACCAGCTCCACGGCTTCGAGTGCTGCAACAGAAGACATCAGGAGGTTTGGATTAAAGATGGAGCTGTTAATCTGTGCTGCGTGTGGACTTTATAACAGAATGAAACCTGGTGTACCTTTATGGAACTGAGGTCCATGTCCTTCCTGTCTGGCCAACACTGATAAAAAAAGAAAAATAGTCAAGACAGAAATCTATAAAATCTCAAARAGGCTCTTCTCAGTAGTTAATCCTGTGCTCTAACAGATTAACACCAGCTTGCAGGTTTTGTTTGACGTCTGGATCGCGGCGTAGAGAACGCGCGCTCACCTGCTGGTGAAAGTCCACGGCGTAGCTGAGGAAGGCCGGGTGGTGGACGAGGTCGAAGCTGGACCAGTACTGCGGGACTTTGGTTTGGAGGAGCAGCTCCTCTCCCAGCTTTAGGTCCGACCCGGGATAAAAGGTCCTGGAGTTCCACAGGCAGTTGACCATGAAGACGACGCAGTGGTTGAACTCTTTGAAAATCTGACGGCTGATGTGAAAGGCCTGACGGAGAGGCAGAATGTTATTCTTTCAAATAAAATGAGTCGTTTTCASAGGAGCTGCCTGAGAACGTCAAACCACTTAAAAAGGTCAGAGCCGTGTTTATTTTAACACGTTTAAACTCTAATCTGAGAGCAGATTAGAGTTATCAGGTTCGAGCAGAAGCTCCTGGATTAAAAAAGAAAAAAGCTGCAAACAAAACGACAACTGCGGTCAATTAAAGGATTTMTGAAACAAAAACTTAAACTATTTGTCTTTGAAAATAAAGCTTCTGTTGGAAAACCTGAGTGGTTTATAACACTTTTATACATGTTCACTCATTTCTTTTTACCTCCTTCTGTCGTTCTTGACTCTTGGCTGATGTCAGGTTCACTTTGTACCTGGTTGTAAAAAACAAAAGAGTTTGTTTATGATAAATCGCTCTAAAATCATATCTAAAATCATATCAATATAATGAATCGTTGGATTCAGAGTTGTTTGGTTCATTAAGTAATTAATTCTACATGACGTGACTTGTTTGCCGCTCTGCTAACAGACACACGGAGGAGTGGAGAACCTGTGCATGATGTGGGCTAGTCTGTCCACGCTGACCGGGTCTGTGGTGAGGAAGGCTGGGTAAAACACTCCAGGAGGAGGCATCACCACCAGGGGGAGGCCGAACTTCAGGAAGGTGTCGCACACCTGAAACAGGACGGAGAAACAAAAAAAAAACGCTGCTAAAATACAAACTGTGTAAAAACAACGTGAATCTGATATAACATATAAGGATGCAAACAATTAATTGACTTATGATTAATTGTCAATAGATTAAAATTTCTTCCATTCGATTAATTGACAATACCCATTTAAACCTTATTTCAGAGTAGTTATGACTTCATCCAGTAGAGGGCGCCGCTGCTCTCAGCCTGGCCTGCCGCCTCGACCTCGGCAGCGTCATAATTAAATGCGCAAATTTTGTTTAGTTTTATTTGCGACACAATAATAATGAACTACAGCAAACTGGAAAGAAAAGTACCGAAGGCTGTACCGGACCATCCAGCAGTACGACACTTAAAACAAGAGAGCAGGACGGTAGACAACGGTAAGCTAACTGTGGTTAACGTTAGCTTCTTCTTGTAGAGTTTAACTCGTGTGAAAGAACAAGAAAGTTACAGTCGCTACAAATAATTAACTTGAAGTTAATCGTATCTGTGTGACGTAACCCGGTCAGTGAACCACTCAAATGAACAGTAGCTGGCTTCATATTGGCAGCCCAGATAGGACCACAGGGAACGTAAACAAACAGTTCCAGTACTCATTTGTATCTCATGTCTTTCAGGGATATTTTATTACGTTTCTAGTTTGTTTTTGAGGTAATCTTTATCTTAAATTATTACAGTGTTCAAATAATAGTTTTTCATCTTCAGGGTGGATTTAGTGTTTTACTTGTTTTATTATTTTTTTCCAGCTAGCAACTTAACAGATTCCTGTTTTGTTATATTTTATAAATATGCCCAAATTTAATAATATGAGAGAAATCCACATTTCTGTTTATTTAGTCAGTGTTTAACACAGCTGGCGCAACGAGTTCTTAAAATATTACTGTACTTTTTTTTATTTAGCATGTAAAACATTAGCCCTTCATGTTATATAAAAAAAAACCTTGATTCAAGAGAAATATCAGGTTTTTAGAAAAATGGCCACTTATCAATGAATTGTTAGTCGATCGATAGACAATCAACTATAAATTAATTCATTAATTGATAACTCGCATCCCTAAACAGATATAATCTACCTTTAAATCCTAATTTTCTGACGTGTGTCTTTAAAATAATCTGTATAATTTTCTTTGAACATAGCCTGGAAATCCCTTCGTATAATGTTTGAACTCATTAAAAACTTTGGGTCTCTGTTTTAAATACAGCGCTGGAATTCCTGATGACCAATAAAAATTGAGCTCTCCCAAAAAAAAAAAACATGCTTGTTGTCGGACCACGAGATAAATAATCAAATTTAAACCTAAGCTTGTGTAAAAACATATTCAAAATTATGATTTCATCTCCTCAAAAAAATACAAAATGTTAATTTGATTTTAAAAAGTGTTTTAGGATATTAATTACTGAAGAGTTAAAGCAAATAAAAAATATTTCTTCACTTATTTACTTTGGGCGCTACATTTATCTTTGTAACAACAAACTATTGCATTTTATTTCTGTAAAAAAAATATTTTTTAATGTTAGATGCCGCATGCAGATTCAGAGGAGCGGTGAAATTTGCTGAGTTATCTATAATCGACACAAAACAATTCAAATATTTTTCTCTAAAAATAAAATTATCACTTTATCTTAAATTTACACTTTTCCAGCCGTTAAAAACAGCAGGTATTAGTATGAAGCCTGTACATGTTTGTTGAGGACTTCTTGGGTTTCTGTATAAATTAATGTTGGACTGAATCAGGCTGAGGTGTGTTTATGGATCCAAAATGATCCTTCTGTTCTAACGTGTGTAATCAGTGAGAATAAAAGACCTGAAGTGTCTTTTTTTCTCATTTAGACTTCAGTCTGTCATGAAACGATGAGAGCTGTTGACGAACAACCGGCAAAAACTACAAAACGCTGGTGTTTTCAGGACGCTTCATGCTGTCCTCCTTACATCAGCAACATTTGTTCGAGCCTGTTGTGAACTGAGACTAATTTGATGAGTCACGTGTGAATGTACAGGTTTCTGTGGAAAATCTTCACAAATAATCTGTGTGAAGGATAAAGTTTGAGCTGAAACAAYACGGCCGCCTGTTGTCTCAACTTACGGTTTCGTAGAAATCCAGGATGAAGCTGAGGAGGAGGGTGTGACAGCCCTCCATCTGAAGGCCCACCGACGCCAACCGACCCACAAAGTGGATCAGCTCCATCACTGAATCCTTGAACCCCGACAAAGTTATGTTTCTGAGACAAAAAGACACACAAGACAGAAGTTTGTCACTTTTAACTTAAATAAAACTTTTAACCTTTGTGACGAGTGTCAGCTCAGGCTACAGCACAAATTAAATGAAAACATTTATATCCTGTTTAACAAGGAGTCAATAAAGAGAATCTGTAGTTAGGGAACTAAAATGTAAATATAGAACCTTAAAATTTATCAGACATGTCTTCAGAAATAAACCTGTGTCTATTTACCCTTTAACTTCCTGCAAGGCCTACAAAATGACCTGTGATGTTTATGAAATGACCTGCAAGGCCTACAAAATGACCTGTGATGTTTATGAAATGACCTGCAAGGCCTATAAAATGACCTGTGATGTTTATGAAATGACCTGCAAGGCCTACAAAATGACCTGTGATGTTTATGAAATGACCTGCAAGGCCTGTAAAATGACTTCCAGAACTTGTAAAATGACCTGTGAGATGTACAAAATAACCCGTGATGTCTAAAAATGACTTGTGATGTTTAAGAAATTACATGCAAGTCCTGTAAAAAACCCTACAAGGTCCATAAAATGACTTGCAAGGCCTCCAAAATGACCTGCTCTCATTTCTAGTCCTTGTTTCTGCTCGGGACATAAAACAAAGCGRGTGTAAAACTCACATGGTTGTGTGGCTGTTCAGACTGATGTCCAGGTCGTCCTCCAGAGCGTAGACTGAATGCCACGTCAGCCACTTCAGCAGCATGTTGTTTAAACACTCCATCAGTCCACACTGCGGACACGGAGGACAAGCACTGAGCCAACAGCAGCTCAAACAGCTGCTTTAATATTGCGGTTATAATGAGACCCTCATAAAACAAAGAGTAAACACTGCTGCATGGTTTCTATTAAATTACTTAAAAACCCACCTTGAAAAACAGCGAGGAGGTGAAGAAAAGCTGTGTGAGGGGCTCAAACAGAAGTTTGCTAATCTCTGCATTGAAGACAAAAAAAGTCAGTCGTTCCTGTTTTAAAATTCAGTGAAACAGAACTTTTATTGGATGTGTGAAGAAGAAGAATGTGAAGAAGCATCAAATCTTCAAGACGATGAGGGAAAACCTACGTGAGCTCGGGATGACGGGAATGTTGCTCAGAAGGCCAAGGATCTGTGGACGCAGCAGACATCCGTCCCAAACGTTGAGGAATTTATAGAGAAAAGCATCTGAACTGGGGAAGCCCTCCTGTTGGAGAAAGAAAGAAATATGGATCGTCGACTTTGGTTTCACCTTTAAGAGCACAGCAGGCGTGCAGCCGAACATGTGGCTCACCTGGAGGAAGTGCTGAGCAGACAGCAACTTGTTCAAAAACTGGAGCACTTCCTCTGAATTCTGGGTGGCTCCTCCGTCACCGCTGAACAAAAACTCTGAAGGGGAAAAAAGGACAAACGAATTTTAAAACAGAACCCAGCAGGAGAGATTTAGCAGCAAACGGTGAGATCACTGCTTTATTTAAAAAWAAAAAAAACWGTCCCTATGATGTGCTGCGGTTCAACCCGAGGTCAGCGTCTTCTCTAGTTTTGTAGCCCCCCCCCACCTCCGCTTACCTTCGTGCAGAGCACAGCCCAGCCAGAAGTTGAGGCGCAGGAGGACGGACTCGTCCTGCACGCAGTCCAAGTACTGCAGAGCCAGACTGGAACCCAGGAGCGAGCCCATCTGAGCGGGCAGCTGAGGGAAAACAAGAAACCCAAACCATGAAAATAGTGTGAGAACCTACAACTGCAGAAATGCTAATTTAATAAAAGACAAAAAGTACACCGAGTAAGTTAGCTCGTAAAGTCAAATTTCACATTAAAATGTATTAAAACTCATCTCATTTTACTTTCAAATCATTTACCTGCCGAAAAAAATCTGAATTAAASCAAACGCGACCCGGAGCCAGTCCCTCCAGCATCCTGTAATCTTATTGATGGCAGAACTGGGACGTTACTTCTGGATCATTTATGGAGCGTCTGACTGGGAACAAGCAGCTGCCTCGCAACACGCAGCCTTTTCGCCAAGAACGTAAATAAATCAAAACCATAAGGAGACAGACTGAACGGACACAACTCAGCTCTTCAATAATTATGGAGAAAAACGTCTCATTAAACCCAGAAAGCATCATTTATCTCATCGCTCTGTTCTGTTCATCTCAAAAGGACCAGATTAATAAAGGAGATTGAACATCTTCATCATTCTGAAGAAGAGCYTTGTTGGCAATAAGCAGCTTGGGTCCGGTCGCCTTGTTGCTTTGTGTGCAGAGAAAGAGGTGAATTTATGTGGCGTGAAGCATAAAAACTGGAAAAGTAATTTAAAACGACCCACTTTATTTCTGCGGGTCACTGAATCTTCGACGTGACATTTTATTATTTAGACTAATACTTCATCTCGTCGTGGCTCTGGTGCTTTTCTCATCCACACAGAAGAAACAAATCACTACAATCTGTAAAATAAAAACAATAAAAATAAAGCAAATGAGAGGCGCGACGCACATAAAGCAGTTTTATGCTCTGATCTAATAAAACCGTTACAGCCACAGACCACCTGGGCTTTGGTTTCTCTGCAGTGAGGTGGGGGATCGCCTCCAGCAGAATGGGGTTAAAGCTGGGACGGTCACACAGCGCCACCAGGTGGTGGAAATGTTTCAACACAAATCCAGAAACCAGCTCTTTGTGTTTGTGCTGAAATTGTACAAAACATGCTTTAATCCAGGATATTTAGTTCCCACCATTCTGTTAAAAAAAAAACCTTTTTTTAAACTGATATATAT